TGAGAATCGAAAAAGAGGAAAGCTAAAGCAATTGAAACGTCAATTAATGTCTGGAAACCTATGGACCTTTGTTTCTTATTGTATTCCAGAGCTGGTGAGGACCTTTTGTTTTGTACTATACATGTTGCAAGGACTTAAAAAGACATTTGAATAGCAACCCACCAAGTTTGGTAGCTTATATTATTTTTATTTTATATTTTATATTTTATTATTAGTAGCTTATATTATATTAATGTGGTGGTGATTAGCCTAATAAGAGCAACACTATTGGACCTAAAATGGGGAATCAATAAGGAGACATAATGTATTGTAGGATTACTGGATTAGCGGTGGCTCTTTGCATTGAATGAAATTCAACGGACAAAATACATTGAAGTTCCTATCAAATAGGGTAAATCATATGAATAGTATCCAAAAAAGACTATTCATATTCAATAAATGTCTAGAAACCTCTTAACCTTACGACGTATTTGAATTACATCTCAGAAAATAGTATCCAAAAATATATTTTTGAGAAGGGTTTTAAAAAAGTGTGTTTTTTTTTTTTTTTTTTGTATCGAAAAACTTGTTTTAGTTATATGATTTCAAAATAATTCTGCTGAATAGAAAACAATAAAATATGTTTTATTGAATATTTCATATAAAAAAATTTCCAATATTTTAAACTTCATAAAATGCAAAAAGAAAAAAAGAAAATTTCAGCCCTTTGTTGAAGCATATCTTGAAGTCACCAGAAGCAAATACGAAGCAATTGTCAGGAAAAAATCAAGATCCAAAAAAAAAAAAACAGATCTAGTTTCGTCGGAGAGCTCTTAGTCATCAGAGAAGACGACCTTGAATCGTTGGAGAAGACGTTGTGTGTGTGTGTATTTGTTCCGTCTGAAAGTCGAAGTGGAGACAGAGAAAGCCAGGGAGAGAGAAAAGCAAAAAAAAAAAGCTTTTATACCTAAGAGGTTTAAGTGCACAGTCGAGAAAGAGGGAGAGATGAGAAAGGGAGGGAGGCACAAAGGTTACCTGTCACCGGTGGTTCGTCGGTGCTTTCTCTCGAATTGGCAGAGCTCAATGGTGTTGATAATATGCTTGAAGGTACAATTCCGGCGACTATTGGTTCGCTAGAGATGTATATTAGAGATATATCTTACACGAAAATATAAGAGCTGGAAAGATAGATTGAACACCGTGAATAATCGAAGAGAAATAAAACACACCATACCACACTCAAGCTGTTGATGTATAAACCTATCTTGTCAACACCAAGTATGGAAATCTACAGTATATGAATAGATTCTCATTTTTTTTATCAACCTGTTGATAATACTTCAATAGCTAACTCTTTGTAGATTCCCGAAGGACATGAATAGGATTGCTAATAATCCTTATACTTCAATGGGTTTAAGTTGTGAAGATTTCTGATGAAAGGAATACTTTCTTTCTCATTCATTATTCTGTTACATCATCCCTTCCCTATTTATTTATAATCCGATGAACAGGGTGGTTCTTTAGAAAGTCGTTCGAACCGGATTGGTTTTGACAAACCATGTGGGTCATTGAGAATAGTATAAAATCCAAGGCTTTGGGCATTTTTTTCCCTAATTTGATTTTCCTTTTCACTCTTCAATCTTCAACCTCTGCCTCTCTCTCTCTCTCTCTCTCTCTCTCTCTCTTTCCGAGCATATTCCCCCTCCTCCCTAAAAAACAAATTTCACAAACCCAACGCCCAATCCATAACACACAGTTTCACGCACATACACACACTCTCATTATATACACACCGTAGTTGTACACGCACTTCAAGACACACATTGTCATAGCTCGGCAAACAGTGACTTTAGTCGTGAGATATCACTAGTAGTCTTTTATATATATATGCTCATTAATATAGGGATAAAAAGGTTAATGGTAAATACAACTATTAAAAGACCAAAAGAAAACTCCCTAATACTACTAATTTCTTTTTTCCCTAGCCAGTGCCTCCATGGCCACACTCTCTGATTGTAGCAGGGAGGTCTGTTCTTGGTAATGATGCAATGAATTTCTTGACAAGCCGCCGTTTTTCAAGAGCATGTGTTGTATTGTTTACACCCCTATAAACATGATTCACTCCCCAATCTGGGTGTTCCTTTAGCAGCTGCTTTAAATCGTCAATGGTATGCAGAATTGACCAATTTGGTTTTACATGGTTGAGTGTGTAAGTCTGATAATCCCTTTCAATGCTTACATAATTCCAACCCTTTGAGTGAGCTCAGAACATAACCAGTTTTGCTGCAAGTGATTCGGCTATAAGAGGGCCTATGTTATCTTCAAGGGCCACCTCTGCTCCCAGTATCTCCCCTGCCTCATCTCTAGCAATGGCTGCAATACAAGATCCCAGATTATCAATTGCCGCATCAAAGCTAACTTTAATGCCCCCTTCGTGTGGAGGGGACCAGAGATGGTTGTGCAATTTAGGCACTTATATAGCTAGAGCGTTAATTGCTGAGGATTATGACCTAACTTCACTAAATTCAACATAGAGGGTCAGAATCTCATTCATTACTTCTTGTGGTACTATTTTAGCCTTTTGAAAATGTGTCTTGTTTCTCCATTTCCAAATGGTGGTGGCTTGACTTGAAGCAAATAGTGCAAGATGATTTGCCGTTGGGCTAGATTGACCAAAGAGTAGGGTAGGATTAAGAACATTATGAATTCACTCTTGCATAGTGATATGTGAAAATGTATCAGTTCTGAATCCCCATTTAGAGAACCAGATCATTCTTGGGAGTGGGAACCAGATCATTCTTGGGAGTGGGCAGACGCAGAAAATATGGGTGTCTATTTCAATGCATTGGCCACACATGGGGCAAAAGACATCTGGGATTGGAAATCTACTTGCTAGAAGGCTCTTTGTTGGAATACTGTGAGTAACCTTTCTCCACAGCATCAATTTATGTCTTTCATGCAAAGGAGTGTGCCAGAGCTTCTTCCAGTCAGACTTATCCTAGTAGTGGCCTGTTTTATCCATGTACTATCTTTGGAGTGCATATGTAGACTTAGTTTCAAAGCATCCAGATATATTAGGAATCCATGTCATTTGATCTTCTCTTGAGAATATAGACATCTTTATCTTCCTGATGCCTTGAATAGTTTGCTGATTGAAGATGGAGTGGAGAAGTTCCATATTCCACTCATGTGTGTCTTGGTGTATCAGCTCAGCAACTCTTACTAATGGGTCTTCTATGTCATATTCCAATTGGACTCTGAATGCGGGTAGGTTAGGGACCCATGGTTCTGTCCAGATATTATTTGAATTTTCATTCGCCACCAGATAACAAGCTCCATTTTCTATGGTACTTCTGCAATCAAGAATTTGTTTCCAGATGGGTGAGTCTTAAGATGAGTTACCCACTGTCTTGGGCTGTTAGAGAGTAACTGTCATCCTAGCTTTGAAGGTAATGCTTGATTCATGTCATGTGTTTTCTGAAAACCCAACCCCCTTGATAATTTGGGTCTACAGATAAAGTCCCAGTATTTAATCTTCATAACCTGTATGTCCTCAGTGTGACCTCACCAAAAATTCCTTACCTTTACATCCATCTGTTGGCACAATGTTTTTGGTAGCATGTGGGATTACATTGCATAATGGATGTTGATTGTGCATTGTTGCTATAAAATATCCTTGCTTATCCTTGTTGGCTTGTCCTAACCATTCTTCAAAAAGTGTGAGACATTCAGACATAGCTCTTGCTTCAGATTTTTTTTCTCTTCTACATATCAAGAGGTCATCAGCAAATAGCAGATGGTTGATAGCTTCACAGTTTCTGGCCAACTTGATTCTTTTTATTTTGCCATGTGATGCTTTCCTATGTGACAATCTAAACAAGATTTCAGTACCAATGATAAAGAGAAAAAGTAATAAGGGCTCTCCTTGCCTAAGTCCCCTTTGAGAGTTAAATCTATCTATTGGTGCTCCATTCACAAGAATAAAAAATAATACAATGGTGATGCATTGCTGGATTAAGCATATGAAATGTGGTGGAAACCCTAGGAGATTAAGCATGTGCAATAGGAAGGGTCACTCCACCCTATCAAAGGCTTTTGTCATATCTACCTTGATTATCATCAATGCACCTTTGCCTCTCTTTTTCTTCAACTGATGGACCATTTCTTGAGCTAAGATTGAGTTTTGTGCAATGTGCTTACCAGGTATGATGCGTCAGAACCCACATCAATTGCTCTAAATCCATCAAGCACTTAAAATACAACAAAAGACTAATTTTTTTTTGTTCCAATAGCATTATATAATAAATAACAATATTACACACACCACCTTGCTTGCACCACCTCAACATAAATTATTAGATTAGTAGGTCCCACAAAATTTATCAAATATTCGATGGTTGGGATTGTGCCACGTCAGATGGTGCACAAATCTTACCATGCATGTTACAATTTCTGAAAAGTTTTCCTGCATTTTTCTAGTCATAATTTTCTAAGAACAAGAACAAAAGCAGTTGGCCTAATCTCTTGTATAGCCATTTCTTCATCCACCAATCTCCCATAGTGCTCAAATAAACTCTCCAAAATCCTTTCTCTGAAATGGTGGGAAATTAGTGATTCTTGGATGGCCTATACTATCTTTGCAACAATCATCCCATAGCTCCTACCAGACTCAACATTCCTCTCGAATTCAAACATTTCAAGCCTGTCGATTATAAAAGAACCCTCTCTCCTCACTTCTTTTTTTAATTCAACTCTTGATGGTGAATAAAAATGAATTTTGTTAAGAATAGTAGGGTAGTATGTGTAAATTGTTAATAGTAAGAGGGTGTATGTATAATTCTTATTATTGTTGGTTAACTATAAATACAAGTGATGTATAAGAGCTAGGTTAAGTTTTTAACCTCTCTCTGTTTTTCCCTAAATATTATCTCTAATATTATGTTAATTTTTCAAAACTTAATATGGTATCAGAGCACGAACGATTCTAAATATATTAACATTGTTCATCGTGTGGTCTCTGTTCATCGTCGTGGTGGTGGTGTTGTGTTGTGCTGGTCAACGTTGGTTGTTTTCTCTGGTAGTGGTGGTAGTCGACGTTGGTGGCAGTCGACGTTGTATTCGACTGGTTTGGTCTGATCATTGGCCGTCGACTGGTGTGGTCTGATTGTTGGTGGCAGTCGATTGGTGTATTCGACTAGTGTGATCTGATTGTTGGTTGTTGTTGTTGATCGTTGGTAGTCAACGTTGGTGATTGGTGGTTGTTGCTGTTGTTCGTTGGCCGTCGATGTTGTGTTGTTCGTCATTGGTGTTTGTTGACTGTACATCGCCATTAACGTGAAGAGGGTTTTAGTGGTGGTGGTGTTGCTGTTGTGGTTTCTCATCTGTTGTTGGTGGTGAGGCACAACCAAAGAAAAGGGTCCTCTGGAACCCTAACCAAACGAAGAAGACAAAGTAAAACTCGGTCGAGCCCAAGATCCAAACCAAAATCGATCCAGCCCAAGACCCAGACCGGTTCAGTCCCGGTTTGGTCCATTCTAGGGCGGTTTAGTCCCGATTTGGTCCATTCCAGTTCAATTCATCCGATTTAGCATTCTTTCCGACCGGTTCATCACCTTTTTCGGATGGTTCAGCATCTTTTCCAGTTGATTCAGTAGTTTTGAAGCTAGTTCAGCAGATTTTTCAGTTTCCCCATCCCGTTCAGAAGGTCTTCAAGCAATTTCAGTAGGTTTCCAAGTCGATCTAACCCTTTTAGGCCCGGTTCAGTCGGATTTAGACTGGTTCAGTCAATTTTAAGCCAGTTCAGGCCGGTTCCCTCTGTTTTATTTTCGGTTCAGCGGTCCAGTGGATTTCTCTGATCTGGTTCACTAGTTCAGTGGACTCCTTTGGTCTAGTTCAGCGGTTCAGTGGACTCCTTTGGTTCGGTTCAGCAGTGCAGTAGGTGATTCTTGTCCGGTTCAGTGATCTAGTGATTTTATTTTTCATTTGCTGCACTTATGGAACCCAAATAAGACACTGGGTTGGTTACTATTACACGAGAGGAGTATACTCAGTTCTTGTCCCAACAACAAGTTGTCCCATCTTCCTCCACTGTTACTTTTGCCCAATCAGGTAATGTTTCCACTTGTTTATTGTCCTCCACTCGCAGTCTCTGGATCATAGATTCTGGCGCTTCTGACCACATGACTGATGCGTCTGATGTTTTTTCTACTTATCAGTCTACTACTTCCACACGTAGTGTTACTCTTGCTAATGACACTTGTTCTAATGTTTCAAGTTTGGGAACTACTCACTTGAGTCCTGATATGTCTCTACCTTCTGTGTTATTTGTTACTCAGTTTCCTTTTAGTTTACTTTCCATTAGCAAGATTACTCATTCTCTCAATTGTTTTGTTATTGTGTCTTTTAGGATCTCAAGACGAAGAGAAAGATTGGTATAGGGCATGAAGCAGATGGTCTATATTACCTTGACTTTGATTCACCTACCCAGACTCTACAAATCTCGTCGTCTCCTTTTCAATGGCATTGTCGTCTTGGACATCCCTCTCTCCAAAATCTGAAGCGTCAAGTTTTCAGTCTTAGTTATGTGTCATCTTTGTCTTGTGAAGCTTGTCAACTTAGTAAGTATCATCGTGTGTCATTTCAGTTTAGAGTTCATAATCGTGTATCTAGTCCATTTGAGTTAGTACATTCTGATGTATGGGGTCCAATAAAGAATATTTCATCTAATAAATATCCTTATTTTGTGATATTTGTAGATGAATATTCTCGTGTGACTTGATTATTTTTTATGAAAGCTCGGTCTGAATTATTCTCTATATTTGAGACATTTTGTAAGGAAATAAAAACTCAATATGGTTGTTGTATACGTACTTTACGTTCCGATAATGCTCGGGAATATGAATCTGATCATTTTTCAACTTATCTTAGTAAAACTGACATTTTTCATCAGACTTCTTGTGCTTACACCTCTCCCCAGAATGGTGTTGCTGAACGCAAGAACCGTCATTTGTTGGAAGTCACTCGTGCCTTGTTATTTCAGATGAATATTCTCTGATATTTTTGGAGTGATGTTGTTCTTACTACTTGTCATCTTATTAATCATATGACATCCTCTGTGTTAAATGGGCAAAGTCCATATTCTATCCTTTTTTTAGGTAAGCCCTTATTTTTCTTGACTCCTAAGATTTTTGGATGTGTCTGTTATGTTCACAATTTGGGTCCTGGGTTTGACAAACTTGACCCTCGAGCTACCAAATATGTATTTCTTGGTTACTCCTGCACACAGAAGGGGTATCGTTGCTACAGCCCTTCTCTGTACCGATACTTTACTAGTGTCGATGTCACGTTTGAAGAATTTGTTCCATACTTTTCAGCACCGTCTCAGCCTTTGAATCTGGACTTTGGATCATCTCCTGTACCACCATCTTCAGATATTCTGCTGCCCACTGTGTTCCCATCTACTTTACCTCTCTGTGTCTATTCTCGTCGTCCTCGTCCATCGACTGAGGTGCCCGTATCGTCTTCCTTGCCACCTTCTGATCCTGGTACATCAGGTAATTTAGACTATTTACCTATTGTTCTTCACAAAGGTACTCGTTCGTGTGTTACTAATCATCTCATTTCTCATTTCTCATTTTATTTCATATGATGTCTTGTCTCCTGTCTTCTCTTGTTTTACTTCTCAATTATCTGCTATATCTATTCCTAAGCATTTACAGGATGCATTATCTGATCTGGGTTGGAGGAAAACTATGGAGGAGGAGATGAATGTTTTACATAATAATCAGACTTAGGATCTCGTTCCTTTACCCCCTGGTAAATGAACTGTTGGCTGTCGTTGGGTGTATACTGTTAAATTTCATTGAGATAATTCTGTGAAGCGTCTCAAAGCCCGACTTTTTGCAAAGGGCTTTACTCAGACTTATGGTGTTGATTATGAAAAGATTTTTTCTCCTGTTGCCAAAATTTCTTGTGTTTGTACATTGATTTCTTTAGCTGCTAATCTTGATTGGCCCTTGTTTTAGTTAGACGTCAAGAATGCCTTCCTACATGGTGACTTGGTTGAAGAGGTATACATGAAGCAGCTACCTAGGTTTACTGTTCATAGAGAGTATGGTAAGAGTGTATGTCGGTTAAAGAAATCTTTGTATGGTTTGAAGCAATCACCGAGGGCATGGTTTGATAAGTTTTCAAATACAGTTTTAGAGTTTGGTCTTCTTCGATGTCAAACTGATCATTCTTTGTTTCATAAACAGACAGATGCTGGATATATCCTATTGATAGTCTATGTAGATGATATTGTGATTACTGAAAATTATTATGAGGGGATTACCAAGTTAAAAACATTCTTACAAGATTGATTTCATACTAAGGATTTGAGAAAACTTAGGTATTGAGGTGGCTTGATCTAAACAAGGTATTTGTTTATCCTAGAGAAAATATGTACTTGACATGCTTGAGGAAACAGGTTTGCTGGGTGGTAGACCGATTGATGCCCCTGTGGATCCGAATCAGAAATTATTGATGGATGATGGTGCATTGTTTGAGAATCTGGGTCGGTATCGAAAATTGGTTGGGAAGCTTAATTATCTCACTATTGCTCGACCGGATATTTTCTATGCAGTCAGTATAGTAAGTCAGTTCATGGGATGTCCTAGAGTACCACATTGGGAGACAGTTACTCGTATTCTGCGATATCTCAAACGAGCTCCTGGACTTGGACTGTTATATCAAACTAATGGACATCTTAGAGTGGAAAGTTTCTCAGATGTTGATTGGGCTGGCTCTCTTTCTGCTCAGAGATCAACCACTGGTTATTGTACTTTCTTAGGAGGTAATGTTGTCTCATAAAAAAGTAAGAAACAACCCGTGGTAGCAAGATCCAGTGTCGTGGCTGAGTATAGGGCAATGACACATACAACGAATGAGTTGACTTGGCTACTACACTTCCTCCAGGAAATTGAATTTCCAGTTTAACTTCATTTACAGTTGTTCTATGACAACCAGACAGTTATTCATATCACTGTCAATCCTGTGTTTCACGAGAGAACCAAGCATATTGAAGTTGATTGTTACTTTATTCGAGATAAGATAGTAGCTGGAGAAATTACAACTCCATTTGTGAAATCTGAAGATCAGGTTACAGATATATTTACCAAAGCATTAAGTCGTACCCGTCTTACAGCTATTTATTCCAAGCTTGGATTATATGATATATATAGTCCAGCTTGAAGGGGAGTATTAAGAATAGTAGGATAGTATGTGTAAATTGTTACTAGTAAGAGGGTGTATGTATAATTCTTATTATTGTTGTTAACTATAAATACAAGTGATGTATGAGAGTTAGGTTAAATTTTAATCTCTATCTGTTTCTCCCTAAATATTGTCTCTAATATTATGTTAAGTTTTCAAACTTAACAAATTTCATAAGAATCAAGCTTTTCCTCCTCAATTTCTCCCTATGAAATCAGAAACAGTTTGATGAGTTAGTACATTAATCGGTTATTTGGTTATCGTATTGTCAAACAATGAATTGTATTAAGCAATACAGGTTAATTCCATAAAAACGGATAATATATAAGAATTAAGAGTTAATAGCATTTTTAGTCCTTAAAGTATGTGTTTTTATCAGTTTAATTCTTATTGTATCAATTTTGTCAATTTGGTTTATAAAGTATTCAATATGTGTCACTTTTGTCCCTAATCAGACAATTTGTCAAATTTTTTTACGAAAGTGACCGCATGTCATTTTTTAGATAGTATCACATGTCCAACTTGTGAGCATTCCGTCAAAAACTTAACACTCTGTTTATGTATGGACCAAAATGACACAAATTGAATAGTTTAGGAACCAAATTAAAACAAAAAATGCATATTTTAGGGATCAAAAATGCATTAACCCTATGATTACATATGAAACAAAAATACTATGTGTTATAATCTAGTGTTTAGTACTATAGTAAATTAAGAGTGAAATAATAGAGTATTAATTATATATTTGCCCAAAAACCCATCAATCTTGGCTAGTTATTAAATTTTTTGTTTATTGACGCTCGTCATTCATTGTGACTACACACTGCATACTGTCATACATTTTGACTACACACTAGTGCGTACTCACATTCATTACAATGTTTTCCTTACAAAACACTATTATTTGAATCAGTGTTAAGTCACTTCATCACGTGGCTTACTAAAAATCTGGCAAGACCAACTCCAACAACCTATTGAATGTGACTATTTAATCAACATCTGTGAAACACTTCATTGTACCAACTTCATCTTTAACCATGAATTATATAGTTCGTGAACAATGTTTGAAACTCTGGAATATCCTTGGTCGTTAGAGGATGAGTCCTTCTATCCATTGAATCATCATTTACGTTATTCAAGAATGGTCAAAATCACAATGATGGCAGAATGGCTATATCGTTTCACAGAAAGAAAAAATCTAAGTTCAGATTTACTTGTTTGTAATATACGAAGGCCTCGACAAATTGTCAGTGGTATGCCCATTGAAGCTCCTCACGGATTAGAGCGAGTATTGTTTTGTATTTGAGCTGAGAACAATCGCTTGGCAATCCATTTCAGTCGGTACAACCTTCGTCGC